ATAGCTACACTCCTTGATCATATATGAATACAATGAACTAATTCGATTGTCAATTTAAAATATTTACACAAGTGGATACCACAAAATCTTATGTTATACATAATCAAAGTATAAATGAAACTCTAAGTGTTAGTGAATCTATCGTTTTGATGAGATACGCACTCTATGAAATTAGCTTCAACGATTCAACAGTCAAACTTGTTTGTATATGCTTCGAGATCCCATATGCCAAAAATCGCAAAAAACAAATATTCAATGATAAAGTAATGGGAGAAAACTTTTCGACGATCATAAACGAAAAATCACGATTTAACGGTTATTTTAACTCTGATTTTGATGATTTTTTTACAGCTACACTCCTTGATCTTATATGAATACAATGAAATAATTCAATTGTCAATTTAAAATATTTACACAAGTGGATACCACAAAATCTTATGTTATACCACAAAGTCGTTGACTTTGACTTTGCGTGATGCAGTCTGTGCGTCGCCCATGATTTTGGCACCAAACCAAGATTTTTACCACTTTTTTCAACGTTGCGCGACAAAGGTGTTCCTTCGTCTCGCGAAGCTGTTTTCCATGGCGACGGTCTTAGTAATGCAAACTTCTGTTGCGCAAAATGCCTTTGCTTGACGTTTTGTTGTCACTGTTGCGCAAACATACTTTGCGTGACAGAATTTTCTCCATCGCGCAAGTATGTTTTTGTACGAGTGTTAGTGATATTCAACAATATTAATATCAATTTCACTTATTTACTATTTTTTGTCACTTCTGTCTTTACTTTGTGAATAACTAAAGTGGCGTGCTTGAATATAACCAGTTTATATTTAACCCTAAATCAGTAGTTTCTAGTCTAATATTGAGAAACAGTTAAGGTCCTTAATAGATAAGGCATTAAAAAGAACCAAACGTGAGCCAAACATTGGCACGTTCCCTTATAAAGAAAATTTATTACTTGTGGTGCAAGTATTCAATATACACTTAATCTATTCTAAATACAATGTCTTTTTGTTGGCATAAGGCAACAATCGCACTTGATAATTAACAAACAAAAGGATTCACAAAAGAATTTACTAAACCTCTATGAAGGCCAAATTAAGTGTGAAACCTGACAACTAAGAAACAAAACTACTTCCCCAGCCAGCAGTGTTTCTTTTACAACGAACAAAAAAACTTGCTCAACCACTGCATTTGAGAACATTACTACTCCCGTAGTAAGAATAAATTCTTGCAACTAAAGTGTTGGAAAACATTAGTGTTTTAGGTTTATCATATTATTTATATTTTTAGGGTATTTTACATATTAGAGTTTTCTTGTAGGTTAATTTGGGTTCATTGCCTATTAAGAATTAGAGTTAATTTTCTATAAATAGTGTGTTATGTAATTCAGTTAATTACATGTTTTTCACAACACGGAAAAAAAACCCCATTATACCGTTATTTTACCTATCTCAACAAATATGTAAATTCAGTTTGACCTCCATATTAAAGGGGTTAATATATATCCTTATTTTATTTTATTTTTCACTTGAAAAACAGTGAAAAATAGGCATTTTTGCATAATGATTTCATTTTGTCATCTCATCATTAAACATTAAGAAATGTACTTAGGTCAACTATTTGGGCCTGAGATATATCGCTCCTCCCATTATGATGCCAACGTACATGGCTTGCTATATTGTATATATAACTTAAAACACTTACTTTAATTAGGAATTTGACCTGGGTTTCAAATTTTGTTACCTAGCTCAACTTGTGTGTTCACTGTACAACTTTCACATGATAAACAAGCATCTCATCAATAATTGATGGCCCCATGCAAGCAGAAAATGTATTACAGAGAGAGCATCCTATGCAAACTCAACTTGCAACTTCATCCTATGATACCTTACCATTATCAAGGTTGATTTTATCCTCTTAACCTCACTTGAGAGATTCAGGTTCTGAAACTGCTTTTGCTGTACAAGAATATGGTTCACACGGGTTTTCCGCGTCTCTTTGTATAAATGCCTAGATGCCCATAAAGCCATATGATATGAAAATAACGATGTAATAATTAAAAGAGTTGGATCATTATAACATGTAAATTATATCAAATATCAAATTTAAAAGTATAAATTTATCGTTCACTAATATAACATGTGTATTTTAATACACAATAAAACAGTGTCAAGAAAAAAATATTTATTTTCTCAGATAATTTGAATGGGTTCACATTTTGTTGCTGTTAAAACTGGTAACAAAATACCATTGAATTCCGCCATGATTCAGGAATATCTATGCGGTTGTTCGTTTTTTTTCTCTCTTCTTGAATTGGTAGTTCGATAGAAACTTTATACTGTAAATTATTTTAAAAGATGCAAATAACAACTTTCTATTTTAACTTTTTTGTTTCTCTGTTTTGCATACCTATTCTAAATTATTTGATTTCTAATATTTCAAAAGAAAATTTTTCGCATCCCCCCCCCCCCAAAAAAAAAAAAAACCAAAAAACTAAGAAGAGATTTTTTGCATTAATGAAGGACAGTTTCTTATTCCTTTTATTGTTTATGAATAAAAGCCGGTTGTTCTTCATCACTGTTATTTTTGGAAGTTGTTATCCATACTTACAAAACGTTAATCATGCGCCCTAATTAGTACTTAAAATGATATAAGAAAAAAGAAGTGTACGATAACTTTCAAGGATTGTAAACAACCTTTTAATTATCTTTTACGAACATTATTATAACTTGGAGGGATCACGTTCTATAAAGAGATATATATATATATATATATATATATATATATATATATATATATATTATATATATCTGCATGTATGTATATATATTGTGTGTGTACATGGTCTGTAAATTTCATCATTCTATAAACAGATACACACACACACATATATACATATACATATATGGTGTGTGTATGTGGTCGGTAAATTTCATTAGTTACTTCTATGTCGGTTAAGTGATCTATTAAAAGTTCATATTACTTATCCGTTAAAATATAATCTAAATAAAATCTCAAATACCCAAACCCTTTCCATTATCAAAACCTAAAGTAAGGGAGGTACTGGAAAGGAACAATATATAGCTGCCGACGGAATTCTGCCAAACAAGAAAAACCACTATCCATATCTTTGCTCTTTCTGTTGTTTCCTATCCTTCAACCGATATTGTATGGTTAAATTCCGGTTAGACACAAATAACTAACAGACTTGATAATAAAGAAAGTTGAGGTTTTATTATAAAATTAATTATACACAAATAACAAAGAGCATCTCCAATGGGAGTTCCTATTTAGGTACTCCTACCAACACCTTTGAGTACTCATTTAAGCACTTAAAGGGAATCTTTGTGTCCCTAAAGGAACATTGCCTCAAATGAGAGAGTCCTTATGGTAGAATCCCTAAATTTGAGATTTTTACAATTTTATGTGATAATTTGATTAAGTGCACATTTTTTGTTTATTTTAACATTAAGTTCTCATAAAATATTTTTGTGAACATTTTAACCAAAAAATTCAAATTCTGACACTAATTTTCTTCACAAAAAGTAACTAGAATGAGTGAATTGAGTACAAGTGTATTGAGTATAGGAGATGAAGTTTTGGTTAGATAATTTGGTATTTATATGAATGATGATGAGGAGAACAAAATGAAAGAGTAAACCAAATTGAAAATATTAATATTTCAATGGGGGCCTTATGAAAAGAGAAAACAAAAGAATTTGAAAACCAACATGAGAGAGTAACCTAAATTGAAAGAGTTATTTAATTGGAACCATTGATCTTTCAATGGTAAAAAAATATGAAAAGCAAGAATCAATCTGAACACTCCATTTTAAATGTTGAAAAGAAAAGAAAAAAAGACAAGGCCATGTGACTAGAACCACGCCTGCTTTTCCACTTAAATTGTCCTATTGGGTCCACCATTTCAGTCCCTATATGTGGGTACATACACCAAGTATCCGGCGAGTCCCTATACTTTAGGGACTCACTTTCCGATCCATTTATACTCATTTTATACAGTGGTTGTCCCTATATAGGGACTCCACTGGAGATACTCTAACAGACTTGATGATGAAGAAAGTTGAAATTCCACCATAATATTAATTGGCAATATGGGGAGTAGCTCAACCTCTTATAAGCCCTTTGCATGGTTTGCTTTATCAAAGATGTGGGACTTTGTCCTCACATTCTCACACGCCCCCTCACATTTGACGAATTTGCATGCCTAACACGTGGACAACACAAAAAGGGTGACGTGGAGCACGTGTGGCCCTTAAGCTTCACAAGTGAGCCAATTTGCTCTGTTACCATGAAGAAAATTGAGGTTCCAACATAATCCAATTGGCAATATAGGAAGTAGTCAAACCTCTTATAATCCCTTTCATGGCTTGGTCTCTCACTGATATAGGATTTTGTCCTCACATTCTCACAATTTAACTATATGCTCTACCATTGTATGTGAGGTTCATCACTATTAATGAGTATGTCAACGTGTGTGAATATTGTCTGTATAAATAATATTACTCTTGCAACATTCTTAATCATTAGGATGAATGACTTACGCATTCATATTCTGTTGGTCCAATTCCTTCAATCTTTGCGATTTGGGAATCAATCCCCACCATTCTGTGTAAATTGACAATATATAGTAGTTCATTAGTCCGGTGAAAAAACTATTAACAACCAACATATATAAGTTATTATTCTCACATAATATGAACACGAAAAGCTAGAACCCCTTTTGAAAAAAAAAATGCCTATCCAAGAAAAGATATTTACAACCCTTTTTGAATTTCATCATAGAAGGAGTTGAAGAATCGAATTTTTACACTGCCATTATTAACCCAATATGATAATAAGAAAAATCAATTATGCTTAGTCAATCCACGTTCATGTGGACTCACAAATACAACAGTACCAAATGTCATATGACCCCACTTATAGTACCTATAAATACCTAAACGGGACACATACAATGCCACCAAATTTGAGACCAAAAAATAAGGTACGTTAAATCAAGCTAGAAAATATGGAAAACCCTCGCAGAGGAAAGGATCTAGAGAAGCAAGGAAAGGAAGAGAAGGGAAGCGAAGAAGTACGTTACCGTGGGGTCCGAAGAAGGCCGTGGGGGAAGTTTGCTTCTGAGATAAGAGACCCTTCTAAGCAGGGTGCTCGTCTGTGGCTTGGTACATTTGACACCGCTGAGGAAGCTGCAAGGGCTTATGATAAGGCTGCCTTTAATTTAAGGGGTCATCTTGCCACACTAAATTTTCCAAATGAATATTATGCTCAAGTTATGGGCTCTCATCCTTATCCTCCTAGATTCTCGGCACTTTCTTCTTCTTCTTCATCTTCTTCTTCCACTTCGTCATCTTCTGCTGCTGCACCGGGTGGAAGCTCATCTGCCAGACAAGGAAGTAGGCAAGTGTTTGAGATTGAGTACTTGGATAACAAGGTGTTGGAAGACCTCCTTGATTATGAAGAGGAGAAGAATAAATGAAAGTGAAATTGAGTTGTGGTTTTGTTTTTGTTTTTGGATGTTTTTGTTGAGCACGTTTCCCTTCTATATATAGTTATCTGTTATTTAGCCATACTTCAGCAAATCTTCTATCATTTGGGGTAAAAAGTTTGATATTTTAGTAATCACTTAACATTACATAATTGTTTATTGATGATCATTATGTGTTCCATCATTAGCTTGGTAGACCTTACTCCTCACTGAATATTTCTATGGGAAGTCGGTGACGAACATTCAAAATTCAAATTTCTTCCAGTATTAGAAAGATATTAATAAACCACTAGATCATAAAAAGAAATAAAAAAAAAAGGTCAGAATATGACACTGTCCCAAATATAGACTAGCGATGAAGTTCCTACTATTCTTATAAAAAGTACATTCTTTGGGAACAGATGTACAATTTGACTCAGGCGTCAAAAGTACACTACCGCTTCACGTGGTACTAAGACTGCATGATAAGATGATTAGTTTGTCATCAATTTGTGGTCAAATACCTTCTATGTTCAAAAAGTTTTTATGGACACCTCCTAAAATTCAGCTTTTTTTTCTTTATGGACACCACCATTCACTTTAGCGTAGATAATATAATTTGTTAAAAAAAAAAACTTGCTTTATGGGGAGTATCCCAACTTACTTATAAGCCCATGGAAGGTCCATCATCCCATCAATGTGGGATCCATTTTCAACACGCGCCCTCCATTCTCTTCCATTGGTTTTGCCCTCTGGTTTATGTGGTTTTAGCCCCCAAGGGTTTTCCTTGGTTTCTAGAGAGAGAAAGTGAGATGATGATCGAGGGTTTTCTACAACAGAAAGAAGAACCCACTGTATGTGTGGAGGAGGGAGAGGAGAGAGAGAAATCGGGGAGGAGGAGAGATCGGAGATTCGAGATTCAAGGTTAGGTGGAGTAGTCAAAAGAGAAATAGAATGAGGTTAATTTTGATTGAATAGTTGAGATTAAATCTAAGCTAAATCTGACGGCTATTAATTACTATTATATACTAAAATTTAATATTATATATATTTTGGTTCAGTTTGGTCTTACCAAATAAACCCAATTTCATACAAAATCTCGTACTGAACTTTTCGGTTCGGTTTTGACTCTTTCGAGTATTGAATTTTTTATTGTCAATTCAGTTCGATTTTGGTCGGTTTTCGATTTCGGTTTTTTAGGTATTTTATTCCAACCCTAATGGAGAGTAACCAATCTCTTACAAACCTTTGCAAGGTTTCTCTTTTTCACCGATATGTGACTCTTTTACCTTCATATCCTCATACGCACCCTCACGTGTGTTGAATTTTCACACATGAGCCACCATAAAGAAAGTTGAGGTTCAACAATAAAACTGATTGGTAATATAGGGAGTATCCTAACTTACTAAGCCATGCAAGGACCCTCCTCTCATTAATGAGGAATTCATTCTCAACACGCGCCCTCACGCGTGGAGAACTTTCAAGTCTAACACGTGGACAACACAAACAGGTGGCGTGGAGCACGTGTGGTCGTTGCGCTTCACACGTGGGCTAACTTGCTCCGATAACATAAAAAAAATTGAGGTTCCACCATAAAACTGATTGGCAATACAGGGAGTATCCCAACTTACTATATGCCTAAGTAAGGTCCCTCCTCCCATTAATGCAAAATTCATTCTCAAAACGCACCCTTACGCGTGGAGAATTTTCAAGCCTAACACGTGGACAACACAAACGGGTGGTGTGGAGCACATGTTGTCGTTGGGCTTCACACGTGAGACAACCTGCTTTGATACCCTAAAGAAAGTTGAGGTTCCACCATAAAACCAATTGGCAATATGGGGAGTACTCCAACCTCTTATAAGCTCTTGCAAGGTTTTTTCTTTCACCGATGTGGGACTCTTTTACTTTCACATATTCTCACGCCGCTCCAAACATGTGGATAACACGAATTGGGTGACCTGGAGCATGTGTGGTTGTTGGGCTTCACACGTGAGCCAACTTGCTCTAATACCATAAACAAAGTTGAGGTTCCACAATAAAACTGATTGCCAACATAGAGAATGACCCAACTTACTTATAAACCAATGCAGAGTCTCTCCTTCCATTAATTTGGAATTCATTCTCAGCCATAGGATATGTGCTTTAAAAATTATGACTACATGATTTTTAATTTAGGACACATAATCTCGCTTATCATATTAACCATTTTGAAATACTCAATTTACACAAAGAAAAAGATACATGAGCTAGTATTAATAAATTTTGTAACTCAAGTAATTAAAAGTATTTATTCATGCATCCGATGTTTTGCATTCGAATCATTTTTTCTTATTGCACTCCACTAATAGCGACCCTCCTTTTGTCTCATACAAGTCTATGAAATGTCAAAGTTTCGCTACCGTATACCACTGTTATTTTGTTTTGACAAAAAAATAAAGATTTTTTTTTTTTTTTTTTTCTTTGCACTTCGCTAGAAAAGTTCAAGAGATGCTTGAAAAGTACGAAAAATAATCTCAATCTTCAAACCCTAATGAAAAGTAGAATTTCCGACCACAATCTAGATTTTAATTTGGTCTCCTTGGTGAAAGGCAGATTACGGAAATGACAATTCAGGCACTACAAAAAAACATGCTAAATTGTAGAATGTCCGACGACACTCACACGCAACAAAATAAAGGAGAACATTGTTTTCAAGCTGATAACATAAGCACAGAATCTTTGTTTTAATGAAAGTCTTATCTTAATATTTAAGATGAAGCTAGAACAAATATATTTGGAATCGCAATTTGAGCATAAAGTCGAAAGAACATCACAGGTGATACGACAACTGCAAGAAATTGTCCCTGGAGTTGTACCAAGCACAAGTACTATAGTACTGGTAAAACCAACATCAAAAGAAAAAAAAGAGTTGCTCAACATGAGAACAAATTCGAAGAATTAATAGCTCAAACCCAGGCTACAATTGGTCACGATTGAAGATGATGGATAGGCATATGTTATATACTTAGCATGAAAGAAACCATTGTAAAGAAGACTATCGAGTATCGTACGTCATCAGTGTACCCGAAAAAAAGAGTATCATCCTATCCTCATAAAAATTCCCTTTCCTTATCTCTCTGAGATTTGCTTTCTTTAGGGTTTGTTGAAGTCCTCTACGTCAAACCAAAAATACTACACTTACAAATTGAGTGACCAAGAGTGCAGGTGCTGATATGATATTTATTTCGTTTTTGGTTTTAAGTTTTCTATTGTTTTGATTAAAAATATAAAGAAAGTGTATATATATTTGGTTTAATGAGGGATGAAGAAAGGTGGTGGGATGGAGGAGGGGAAATTGTTATTTACACCTCATCTGGTAGTGATAGCAAGTCATCTAGTTCCTTATAGCGTTTAAGTTTCCTAGTTGTTAGTATTCCGTTGTACCAAAAGATTTTTTTAGTTTCCTAGTTGTTAGTATTCCGTTGTAACCCAGCTCTACCAAAAGTTTTTTTTAGTTTCCTAGTTGTTAGCTAGTATTATATGTTTCTTGTTTACACATGATTAGGTTGGCCGTTGTAATTATTTGTACAGGGGGACAAACAACAGAGGGGCATACTTCATATAAGGGTTGCCCATGTTATTTGAAGAAACTCTATTCTACTAGTACAGTTTCGTTTATCCCAAGCCATAATTTGATTACAGCTCTCACGCCTAATTAAGCTTACACTACACCTCATACCGTTTTTCTTCTTCTTCTTTAACTCCATTTGAGATATATGTAGTGTATACAATACAGCATACAAGTGAGTGGTCAGAGTTTGGAACGTTCCACCAAATTCAGTTTCATCGTTACTTATTTTCCACGGAACTTGATCATTACTTGGATGACAAGTAAAATTTACTCTAAACTACCGTTCTGTTCACAATCTGTGAGAAGATGTACCCTTTGGAATATATTTCTTAGATTATAAATTCAGCTACCGTCTTACTAAGACTCACTCCTAGGATTTACTGGTTGCCTAAACCCACCTATTTTGCAATAATAGTCCAACCCAATACATACATAGACCAATACTCATAGCCCACGTAAAATGCTAATAGACCATTCCCTAAGTCCAGCCAAAACAAGAAGTGAGTTCTCCTTAACACCACGTTGACATGGTAATAGCCATTCACTTATTCTCTTAATTATTAGAGTGCTGATAGAGAGCACTCTGGCTATAAAGTTAGAAGTGGGTTGCATTAATGACTCGTTTACTAATCCGTAATCTGAATGAAAGGAATTGAATTGAGGATGAATTAAATTGAAGGGGAGTTGGAATAGGGAGGAGTTGGAATTGGATTCCTGTTGAAGTTGTTAACTTAAATTTTCTAGAATATGAGTAAAAAAGTACTAATCCATATAAGTGTTTACTAATTCACTAGAATCGGGATATAATTCAACATGATTACAAAAATGCCCTTATCATGGTTAACAAAAACATATATGAAAATTCTCATTCTTTCTCTCTTCTTATTCTCAATAGCTCTTTCTTTGTTCTTCGTTCTATATTCTTTAGAAAATAAATGGTATCTTCGCTGGAAACGGCTTGCTGCCATTTCCTCCTATGGTCTCTTCGCTGATGGTGTCTTCGCTGGCGATTGATCTTCTGCCGAAGATTGTTGGTCTGAAAGGTGTTTTTGATTGAGTTCGTGAGGCTGCGAGTTTCTTTTTGGGTTGCGGCTGCGTCTTGATTCAGGTGTTATTCCTGTTCTTTTTCTGCTTAAATGTTTGGATGTATTGATTCAGGTGTTATTCCTGCAATCTGGGTATTCATATGATTCTTGATTCTCTACGAAAGTATTAGTCTTTTGTCAATTAGAAGGAAGTGTCATTCTTTCTTCGTTGCTGATAGAGTTTACAGAAAGTGTTAGTCTTTCTTGTATGAGTAGAAAGTATCCATTTTTCGATCTTTCGTGAATTAGAAGGAAGTGTCATTCTTTCTTCGCTGCAATCGTGTTTACAGAAGTGTCAATCTTTCTTGTCGTAAGTAGAAAGTTTCAATCTTTCCTGCGAAATTCATACACAGTGTGTTGGTTGATTTCTTGTTGTGTATTTCATCATGTCTACACTATGGTTAAAGTTGAGAAATCTTTTGGGTATGCTCACAATCAAACTGAGGTGATAATTTTGCTAAGTGGGCATTTCAGTTCAAGTCTGTTTTAAAGGGATATAAGTGTTTGGGCATTTTGATGGTATTGATGCTTGTCCACCAAGAGTTGTGATCACTACTGATACTGGGGTTACAGCTGAGATTAATAAAGAATATGTTGATTGGGAATCGGTTGATATGGCACTGCTTAGCCTATTATTAGCTACTCTTTCTGACGATGCCATTGAGTATGTTCTTGGTTGCAAAACTGCATTTGAAGCTTGGTCTATCTTGTTGATCGTTTGAATCTGTGTCTAAGTCGGGTAATCATTGAAAACAGAGCTGCATACACAAAATGGAAGCAATTCTATAGAAAAATATGTTACGACAAAGAAATCAGAGATCAATTAATCGGCTGCAGGAGAGTTTGTCGTCTGAGAGTGATGTTATAATTGCTGGACTTGCTGTTACCAAAGAGTATGCTATAAATCCGCACAGTTATCTTTCCAGAGAACTCCTATTACTTTAAAGGATTTAGGCTCAGTTGTTAGGTGCTGAAAAAAGAAGTGAGGAGAGCTCAATGCCTTTGTCTCAAAGTATCGAATGATTTTTTATCTCAAGGTTCTTCTACGATGCAGAAATTCACTAATGCATCGGGTTCTAATCCATTGGTCATTGTATATCCTGCACAATGTGGTGTATTCAGCAACAATTCCAAAATGCTCAGTACCAACAAAACAATTTAACTTTGTCTCCTGTCAGCAGCAGCAATTACCTTTGTTCCTTGTCCCCACATTATTTTGATTCCAAAGGGGGAAAAAAAAATGGGGTTTTTTTTTTTAATTCTGGGGACAACGAAGAATTTGGTAAGAAGTCCTTACTGGTTCAAATTGCCAGGAAAACAAAAAAATGGTGGAATATAGAGGTAAAAAATTCAACTCAGGTAATTCCTCGGTTTCAGTCTGGATTCAAGGCAGAATGGGTGGATGTAATCACTGAAACCAGGCAATACTGTGGTATAAGACAGTCAAATTTGCAATAAAATGGGTCATACGGCTGTCAATTGTTCCATCGAAATTCAAGTACCACCACTCTTTGATGCGATTTGTGCGGAATTAGGGATCGGCACTTGAAATGCCTTTCACAGGGCAATTATGCTTTCGCAAGGTCCTTCTCCACCACATCAATGAGCTGCTATGGCGGCACAGCAGAACATCTCTCCCTAGGTCATCAAGAATTCCTGATTGTTGACACCGGGCTTCTCACCATATCACTGCCGATGTGAATGCCCTGAGTCATGTCACTCCTTTTGCGTTCGGATAAAATTACTATTGGCAATGGGAACAGGTTTATGCCATTGAATATTGGTTCCTACCTTACACATAGAAAATTATACATTGATTCTAATAATGTAAACATGTCCTAAATTGCAAGAAGTCTTCTGTCTGAAACAACTCTGTGCTGATAACATAGTTGGTTATTTGTGATAAAGTGAGTCTTTGTGAGACAAGAAGACAAAGGAGGTGTTGTTACGGAAAGAGTAAGCCAAGGAGTTGTTTCAATTCCAGTTCTGAAAGGATGTGAGGAGTGCAACATCTACAGGCATGTTCAGCTTTCTTGGGAAATTGTCAAGTCAAATCTGTGGCATCAGAGATTGGTCCATCCCACTATGACAATATTGGCTGTTATTTGAAAAAGGCAAATATTAGTATAGATATTGATATACGCTATATAAGATTTCTCAGTGTAATAAAAGGAAAAAGATCAAGAGTCCATTTTCGATTAGAAATAAAGTGTTCTATGCCATTTCAAAGGGTTATATATTTGGGACCATCTCCTGTATAATCCTTAGCCAAGGGGGGGGGGTATAGCTACTATGTACTGTTGTCGATGCAATATACAAAGTAAGCTTGATCTTTCCCTTGTGCAAACTGAATTTTGCTGAGGTATGAAAGTTTATAATTTTTATACTGTTGGCACGCAATTTAAAATTGTTTGCAAACTGATGATAGGAGGTGAATACACCATTTTGCTTTAAGGTTTCTTGTCCCAAATGGATAGAACAATGAGTGCTTGTCATACACACCACAGCAGAAGATTAATTGAAAGGACCATAGCATGTAGTGGATACAGGTATTACTTGCTAGCTGCTGGGTTATCTACTGAATTCTGTATTATGCTTGTGCACACTCCGTCTTTCAATAAATAGATGGTTTGTAATTTTGTCCTTTGAATCTCCTTATCAGTGGTTTATAACTAACCACCTGATTGAAGTTCGTGTCGGGTTTTGGTAACTGCTGTATATCCATGGTTGCGTCCTATAACAAACATAAACTTCAATCCCGGTCTGAGCGATGTGTTTCTGGATATCCTTGGCTAAAAGGTTATTTGCTTTGATCTAGAACTCGAAATGTGTTATTTCAAGGCATGTTTATTTGATGAAATGGTGTTTCCCTACATCATGATTCCCAAAAGACATGATGCTTCTTGCTTCAGCTATGGGATTACAGAGCGAGGTGATTAGACCGTTATGTTCAGTTTCGGTCTCTATCAAAGGGACACTCATACAAATGTCGATACTCCAAGTGACATTCTAAATAGTCTTTTCATATAGTGTCCTGGTAGTGTTTCTGTCCAATGACGAGATCTACTAGCACAACATCTATTCTCTGCTGTCCTCTACGTTCATCAGGTATTAGGGCTCAGATTCAAGGAATCAACTCCGTCATAGGCCTTTTCTCCTCAATGATACACAACTTGCTCCTGTCCTTCTTTGCACCTCCAGGGTATTCTTCCTATTTCTCCATCTCATTCTCATATTACCTCTCCCATATACAAGATGGTATTCAAACTCGGTTGAAGACAGGAGCTATTCCAAGAAGGATTATCTCCTTTGTTGGCATTCCCAGTTACAATCATTAACTTTCAATGATTCGTGTGATATAAATTCAATTGTAAAATTGTGAATGTCCTCTTTTATTGTTGATGTAACTGAAGTGACAAACCTAAGATTTGGCAGCTTTTTCAAATGGTGAATTGGCAGAATGGATGCAGAAGAGTTTGATGCATTACGAGTTCAAGGACTTGAGATTAGCCTACCTCCTGTGAGGGCTGTATTGTAGTGAATGGGTCTATAAGGTTAAGAAATCGGAGGGACAGTTGCAAGGTATAAGCGAGGTTGGGTCCTCAATGGTTATAGTCCAAAGAACAAGGTTTGGTTGCTCAAGGTTATAGTCAAGAACAAGGTTTGGATTATTCTGAGACTTTCAATCCAGTAGTTCGACATACTACAGTGCGACTGATTCTTGCACTGGCTGTTCAAAACAATTGGAGTTTAAGACAGTTAGACGTGAAAAATGCATTTTTACATGGCGAATTGAGGAGGAAGAGGTCTATATGACACAACCACAAGGTTTTGTGGATCCCAAACACCCAACACATGTTTGCCGACTTGTCAAATCTCTTTATGGGCTTAAACAAGCTCCACGAGCTTGGAATTCCAAGTTTACTAGCTTCTTACCTTCTTTGGGGTTTAAAACATCAATGGCTGACACAAGTTTATTTGTAAAAGCAGATGATGATGATGTGATTATCATGCTTTTATACGTTGATGACATAATATTGACAGGATCAAGTACAACAAAGGTCCAATCTGTTATCTCTCAACTTGCAGCAGTATTTGATTTGAAAGATATGGGGCAGTTGACATATTTTTTAGGCCTTCAGATTCAGTATCAAATAGATGGGTCTATATTTGTCAATCAATCCAAGTATACCACTGACTTATTAAAGCGAGCAGGTATGGAGTCTTGCAAACCTACTTCAACTCCTTCCAAACCTCATTCTCAAGTTCTCATCTCTGACGGCAGTCCCATGACTGATCCCACCTATTACAGAAGTATCGTGGGGGCTCTTCAATATCTAACTTTCACACGACCCGATATAGCTCATGCTGTTAATGTTGTATGTCAGTATATGACTCAACCATCTGATCTTCATATGCATTTAGTTAAAAGAATTCTGCGGTATTTGAAGGGTACAATTCATTATGGTTTACAATATACAAAGTCACCTGACTTTCTCATTTCAGCTTACTCTGATTCGGATTGGGCGGCTGACATCAATACTCGTCGGTCTATAACAGGTTATGTGGTTTATATTGGTGCTAATCCAATTTCATGGCAATCTAATCTAAACGACAATCTCTATCTGAAGTTCTACAGAGGCCGAGTATAAGGCATTAGCGCACTGTGCAGCTGATGTGTTTTGGATTCGTTCTTTACTCAAAGATCTCTCCGTCAGTTTCTTCCAGTCCCACCACATTTACATTGTGATAATCTGTCAACACTTGCACTATGTTCGAATCCAGTGTTTCACNATTTTTCTGCTGCAGTGGAGGCTTCACCGCCATCATCCACACAAAAGGCCGAAAGCCGACCCCACTCAAATCAAACCCTTATTTTGTATTTAAGAGTAGAGAATATGATTTGGGGGGGGGGAGAAAATCCAATCATACATACCATGGTTGCTTGCTGCCTGGCATCTCATGAATGGCAAAGGCCAAAAGTCATTTGATTATTAGGTTTCCCCTGTTAACCCACTAATATAAAAAATGGAAAGAAAAAAAAATCAATACAATGATTTCATATCCAACGTGCCCTAACTAAAATCAACATGAAGCATGCAACATTTTGTCAACGTTTAATACTGACAAGCTGGAACTTTGATCCCTAAAACAAAGAGGTTTCAAATTATAAACTCGGGTTTGAAAATTGAAAATCCTCATGATCTTGAACCAAAACACACTCACTCTGAAGAGGATTCTGTTCTCGCTCATACATGGAGCAACATACTGTAGCTCTGGCTTCAACTCTTGTATTTTTGTTACTTTTCCTTATCAATTGTAGGCTTATTCGTTTGATTGCGACAAAATAAAAGATACTTAAAAACAGGCCAGTTTGATTTGGCTAAGGAAACCAAAAATTATGCAGCGAAAATAAGTTGGCCACATTCAGCCCAGAACACGAATTGTTATTGGTCAGACTGCATTTCAAAATGAAAGAGGCGGCGGCTACTTCCTCTGAATTAACATTCACAACGATTTATGTCACATCCCGGCCCGAGCCTCACCACATTCCGGGCTCGACTCTACCATAGCATGATATTGTCCGCTTTGGGCCCCGACCACACCCTTATGGTTTTGTTTCTGGGAACTCACAAAAGAACTTCCCAGTGCGTCACCCAACCTGGGATTGCTCTCGCTGCGATCTCACTTAACTTTGGAGTTCCTATAGAACCCGAAGCTAGTGAACTCCCAAAAGGCCTCGTGCTAGGTAGAGATGGGAATATACATAGACTCGTGATAGGTAGAGATAAGAATATACATATAAGGCTTAGAGGATCCACTCCCTTGGGCGATGTGGGATGTTACAATCCACCCCCCTTAGGGGTGCGACGTCCTCATCAGCACACTTCCAGCTAGGGATTGGCTCTGATACCAAATTGTCATATCTCGGCTCGGGCCCCCACCACATTCCAGGCTCGACTCCACCATAGCACGATATTGTCTACTTTGGACCCCGACCAAGCCCTCACGGTTTTGTTTCTGGGAACTCACACGTGAACTTCCCAGTGGGTCACCTATCCTGGGATTGTTCTCGCTGCAATCTCGCTTAACTTTGGAGTTCCTACGAAACCTAGGGGTGGGCACTTAGAACCGAAAACTGTAAACCGAAAACCGAAACCGAAACACGAACCAAATCAAACCGCACCGAACAGTTTGGTTTTGCGGTTTTGAAACGGTTTCGGTTTTGAAACCGAACTGCAACATAGAAAACGGTTTGGTTTCGGTTTTGGCTTTTGAAAACGCACCGAAACCGAACCGCACTGCAAATATTAATAAACATCTAATTAAATGTCTAAATTAGATTTCATGTTTTAATTGGTTGTTTGTTAGAATCCATACACTTAGTATGAGACTCAACCACACTAGAATATCATCATTCATCACTTTCTTTTGTTCATTAACTTGAAAGATCTTTGTTATTTTATACCATCACACACACATATATGTACAAGGGTGAACTAATCTTGTTATCAAGAGTCGAACAATGATCTAATGAAGTTCACTCATTTGAAGCATGATATCACATATTCTAGTATCAAAGTTTCGCTCATATTTAATGAATTCAAATTTATTCAACTTGTTTTATGATAAACATTGTAAGGGACACCCTTTTGTTGCACAAACATGTTTTAACATCACAACTGCATGCAACATGCTAATTGTTTACATAACAAATGTCTTTTTCCTATTGCTATGGGGAAATGCTTATTAATATGTTAAATTGCAAATTGTACAGTTTTTCTTAAAAACCAAACCGAAACCGTTTGAAACCATAGCGAACCGAACCAAACGGTTTGGTTTCATTTCAGTTTTGTCTTCAAAACCACACCAAACCAAACCGTGCCCACCCCTAACGAAATCTGAAGCCAGTGAGCTCCCAAAAGGCCTTGTGCTAGGTAGAGATGAGAATATACATATAAGGCTTAGATGATCCACTCCCTTGGGTAATGTGGGATGTTACAATTTATGTGTTCTTGTATTTGATAAAAAAAATTTACAAAGAATTCTACCTATATGTTCTTCCCCAACTCATCACATGCAAATTTTTCAAAGACTGTTTAACTATGGAAAATATGCGTGTCGCGAAAGAATCGTGTGATGCGGTGAAAGGTTTCGGGGTTTCTAGCCCGCCTGGTCTTCACCTAATTGTGGAAGAGGGGATACCCATCTCAGCCACAATTCAAAGGGAAAAAAATGCCCCTGAAGGTCAAGGATGATCAACGCCGTGGGACAAAGTTCTTTTAGCGTTTCTCTCTTTTCTTTCTTTATCACTGTAATCGGGAATTTTAAAAAATAAATTTTCTTTTAAGGTATGTTTAGGTGAAGGATTTCTAAGTTTTAAAGGATTGAGTTCAAGTTAGTAAGAAATGATTCATAAAACGTAGATTAGGAGCATTGGTGGAGCGGGCATGAGTAAGAAGTTCCTCCTTAAAATGTATCCTAAGCAAAAGTTTCTAGCGGTGCACTCTTTTCTCTTAGCCAAATATGTGCATGACTTTGAACTACACTTTGTAAACCATATAACTTGGTTGTTGATAATTAAATTATTATTTAATTATAATTAACGTGTTTATTTCATATTGATGATATATCGCATGATTTACAAATTTGATCTAAAAAATTGGTTATTAGCATTATCCTTTTACATATACATCTATCTTAGTCTTAGTGCACTGCAATATTTGATGCAAACCATAATTACTCACAAGAGAATATTAATTAAACTTCAATTCTTCTATTTTTTATAGTATAGTTGGGGTAAAAAAATAATAATTAGTAAGTGAAAATATGAGATCGTTAGGTCAACAGCATCCCTTGCCCACACCTTGGCTCCCCTAGTGATTGGGAGGGATTTGCATTGCACTCTATAAGTACTACAAATACATACATGTTCCTTACTTTATTTGATGGTGTGATTTGCAAATTTCTCTCACATTTCATTATCATTCCTTACTAAATTGGACTCAATACCTTGAGATTGGGAAATTCCTGATCCAAACTTAGCTTAAAAATTATTGTTAGCACTCCAAAACAGTCATTATTCACTCCTTTTACGTGCATTTTTTCCCTTACATTTGTACATAATTTGCAAATTATTTTTCTAGTGTGTTATTAACAACTCATTTCTTTCACCATAATAAAGACTACTAGACTTTTAAAGGTACACTTTCCATATCATTATTAGGAGATTAAAATAAAGGAAAACTAATAAAAATGGTTTGAAAATTTTGAGTTTTAATCAAAATGACAATAATGTGTTGTAAGTGAATAGTACAAGGAGTGACATTTTAGAGTAAAAATGTCATTTTTCGTTAAAGGGAACAGTACTAGAAGTATTTCGTTAAAACTCTCCAATAAATGAAAACTAGATTGTAATTATTGGATCACATTGCAAAAAGTGTAGTTTCCAAGTCCCATTGTTGCTAGCAGATAGGGTGTACCTTCCATATTAATCTTTTCAAGGGAACTAGATTGTAATTATTGGACCTTCCCTTTGGAGTCCACAATACAAAATGAAAAGTACACCCTCAATTCAAGACATGGGTTAACGGCTTTTAATCGTCACTTGATTGAGTTGTTTGTAAAGAACTTATGATCTAAAGGTTCAAATTAGTTTGCAATTTTCACATTACCATTACTTATGATTTCGTTATTTTTCAGGTATCAGTCAGCACATCTCGATTCGGTGTCTATGTGGATATTATGGATCGGGTTGTGTAAGTTTGGTTAGTAGATAACATTATAACATGCATATACTAGTGCAAATGCTAACAGGAAGATCTGAGTTCCATACCTAGAAATACATTTAAATAATGTACATTATCAAATGTCCAAAATAAAAATTCTAATTAATCACACGTTTGAAAGGAGCAGATTAGCTTGTTTACCTACAAGTACATCAGCGTACTTTTTTCATGTCTTGCTTAGCTTGGGTCTGAGATTAAATGAGGCAAATTAAGGAGGGGATTAAGTTGTTCACTGACTTTTGTATGTACATATTATTCATGCTAATTACTAGTCATGTCCGTATAAATTTATGTCGTGCAAGAACATTGACAAAACGAGGCAAATTTATTTATACAAGAGATCCAATTACAACAAACCCTAGCCGTAAGTAGATGATATACGTTCGTACGTAGAAGGAAAATCACCATATCTTGAAAAGCTTACCACACTACACTTTTTTTAGATTCCTCATTGACAACTAAATGCATGAAAAAGGTGATGATCAGAATCTACTTATATCGACCAAAAAGATAAGAAGCATCATTGAGATTGATGTGGGTATAACTTCTTATTAAGCCAAAGAAGAGATGCTTATTAATCTCACTATTTCTTGTTCTTCTTTTGATGATCACAATCTAGCAGCTCCTCTAGCAACTTATCATCCAAGTACTCTAACTCAAGAACTTCATCTTGCCCACCACGAGCTCGCCCTTGCATAGCCATTGATGACGAAGAAGATGAAAAATTAGCCGATGCCGATGAAGATGAAGAGCCACCACTTGCCGAAGGGTACTCATTAGGAAAGTTCAAAATGGCTAAGCCACCCCTCATGGCATAAGCCGCTCTATCATAGGCTCTAGCTGCCTCTTCAGCTGTGTTAAAG